AATCAGACCAGGGAGAACTTTGAACTCCCAGACCTTCACAGTACAGAAGGGAAGAAAACCAGACACCAGGAGTCGCAAGACAGTGTGGCAACTGCTAGAACCCACGACAGGAACACAAGGCCTAGAGGTGTGCAGATGAGGGTACAGCGGGTGATTCTTTTGGTTGAGGCCTGTCTCCCTCAACGGCATCCAACTTTTTATTAAGTATGACACACTGGTAGAAAAGTATAAAATCCTCTAAGCACAGCTTGATGAATTCTCATCACTCAACACACCAGTGTAACTAGAACCCAGGGCAAAAAAGAGAACCTTGCCCTACCCCATAAGCTCTGTCCATGTTCCCTTAGTCACTACTATCCTCAAAAGGTAGTATTATCCCATTTGCTGACACCACAGATTAGTTTTGATGTGTCTGAAAATCATAGAAACGGGCCCATCTGATGTGCACATACTCTTCTCTGTCTGGCCCTTTTGCTCAGTGTACTCTTGGTAAGTTTCCCACATCAGAAAGCTTGCTCATCCTTGTTCCTTTACAAGCCTCCATTGTGACTTGATTATTATAATGTATCTATCCTACTGATGACAGCTTGGGGCTAGTATGAATGATACAATGATGACCATCCCACAGCATTCCTTTTGGTGAACTTAGGGACACATTTATGTGGGTACACCATTGCCAGGTCATAGGGTGTGCCTACATTCAGCTTCAGTAGACACTGGATAACAGTTTTCCAAAGTGGCTTTGCCAATTTACACTCCCTTCAGCAGTACCTGAGAGCCTGTGTTAAACCACAGCCTTACCAGTACCACCTTCCTTTGTGAAGGGGATTTCCTGTATTAAACACCTCTTCTCTGAACCCTATAGCAGCTCCTGTTTTCCTGACAGACTCTGACACCCCCAAAGACACCAGACAGGGATCTGTTAGTGCTGTCATTGAAGGCTGTAGGCTTGGCAGGATCACATGACAGTTGTTCGTTAAAAAAAAAAGGAAGTCAGAGTAGAAGCAAAAACAAAAACAGGAGAAAGGGCTGACCACTCACATATCAATGCTGAGATGGTATATGCACTGACAGGAAGAAAGCAAGATCTACATTCTGGAGGAAAGAGCCTGATATCCAGAAAAAACACTTATATTTCCAATTATCTTCCTTTTTCTCTGACTCAGTATTTGAAGCTAAACCCCAAAAATGTCCTCTCCACTTTACAGGCCCTGAGTTTGGAAACATATGAGACTATTCTTACACAGCTGAAAGGTCATCTGGTCATATGCAGCTGGCTCTTAGGCATCCTCTCCTATGGGGTCCTAATCTTCAACAACCCCCTCCCATCCCTTCTAAACCGGATTTTGAATTTCATGAGGCAGGAACCACAACTGTCTAAACTATATCTTGGCATTTAGCAGAAATAAATAAGTGTGGAGTTAATGAATAGTTATACATTTACTAAATAAGAGTGAAGAGGGTGGAACTAATATGAAAGAGAATATTCTCCGATACTTTTATATAAATAACTACTCACCTCCAAAACAATTAGCAGCCTAGTCTTAAAATTCCCATTTCAAAGGTAAGGAAACTGAACCTAAGGAATTTAAACAACTTGCTCAGAGTCATAAAATTGTTAAATTATTGAAGTTATTGAGGCAGAACTAGGGCTGAGGTCTGCTGGGCTCGAAAGTCTGCTTGTCTCCCTGCCTACTTGGCCCCATGGTGGAAGGCAGAAGAGTGGTCAACTCAACAGCAGTCAAAGTCCAGTTCAGAGCCACTCAGCACCAAGGTTTCTGCTAGAAGACAATAAATGCACTTGTTCTGAAGTGGTACAAGTCATCCTTAACCCCATGAGAGCTGAATCCAGGTGTGGTATAGGCGGAGTTCACTCCCAGGTCTTTTGTTTTCTATAGGAAATCACAATGTGGCAGCTGAGTCAAGGTAGCTGGGAGATCAGTTAAGGTGGCAAGAGGTTCACAGATAATAGAGAGTGTTACCCTCCTGGGCTGTACACCCAATATACAGAAACGGAAAAGGCCTTGTTCTCTAATATTTTCAGGCATATGAGAAACACCCAGTTTTGAGCAGCACTTGGTCTCCACATTGCTTTTTACAGAGCCCTCTTCTATACCTGCATACTGAATGACCAATGAGTGCCATAGCAGTCATCTGAGAAAACCCTATTCCAGAGAGCAGGCCATCCTGTAAGATAAAATCTATCTCAACACACATACGTGAGCATGGCTGAATCCAAACCTGAAGCATTATGACTTGAAACAGAATCCCCGATGCTGCTGTACACTTTAAAGTGGAGACATAGCATATACCAACCTCTTTGCAGACCTTACTTTGTTTAATGCCCGCACCCCAACTCCTGAAAGTACTAGTATCTCCGTTTTACAGATGCAGAAACTGAGATGTGAGAAGGTGCAGTGGCTGCAGAGGGCAACGATACAGAGCTGCAGGCAGGCCCAGGTCCATCATTTACTGGCACTGCCCTCTGCTATACAGCCTGCATGTGAACACCATGTCTGGGGTGTGTTTCCAGGTACCAAAAGACCCTCATGAGGCACTTCTAGCAGCTGAATGCTCTCTGTGGTGAAACCGAAAACACTCCTCACTTAGATCTTGCAGTGTGGGTGTGAGGAACAATTACTCAGAAAGATTATAAAGCATAGGAGCCCTACAAAATATGATTTCCATACTGAAGAATAATCATCTAGGGAAAAAATACTGCTGTACAAAAGGGCCAAGAAGTCTCTGCCTCCTTGAAAATGAGTCTGGATTTTGTGCAGACTCATTTTCAGCTTGGCATGCTTTCCCTCCATGCCAAGCACAATAGGCCAGCACTCCAGGCCAGTATCCTACAGGCAGAAGGGCAGCAGGGATCCAGCCAAGAGGCCTGTGGACACACTAAGGCACTTCCAAGAGCCCAGGCCTCTGCCTCCTCCGTCTCAACCTTCTCTCATCTGTGACCAAACACCCAACAATTTGGGGTGGTCGAGGATGATTCAACAACTGTTCCAAGTTTCCCCCTGAACAGGTTGCCACCATCAATTTCTAAACTAAGAGGAATTGGTTTGGGGGGGGGGAGGGGCGGTGTACAGTGCAGAGGAAAGGAAAGGAGCTTGATGACTGGAAGGCCCTGAAGCTGTGTGTACAGAAACTGAAATGTCAAGGTCTGAGAGTATTCAACAAATGAAAGAAGAATTATATAAAAGCAACAGTTAATAAAAGAGATTGTCAGATGCTGTGTTTCCATCCTCCCAAGCCATTACAGGAGTAAAATTATCCACAGAGAAAATGGAAAACTTTTTTCAAAACCGATACAATTAAGCTTTTGATGGTGCCTTCTTGATCCGCTTTCCAGCTCCCCTCCATTCCCCAGATCCCTCACCAATCTCCAGTTCCTGGGGATGTTGGAGGCAATTTCCTTCTTTGCATTGGCACCAGCAAAATGCATGTGTGTAAGTCAGAAAGGAGATCATGTTTTTGTACCTCCTTCTGTATGTATTCAATAACTGTTCACAAGCATGTAGGAAAATCTCATTAAAAAAAATAAAAACCTACATCTGCATACATAAGGAATTTGGACTTCACTTTATGATGAGTGGGCAGACCAGTTGAGAAAGAAGGGCTTATACAGTAGAATTTCCTTTCCTTCAGGAAAGCAGAGAGCTGGTTTTAAGGAGGAGAACTATAGTAGAGAGGAGTGAGGCTAGTGACAAGAAGAAACAGACTTTAGGGAAGGAAAAATGCTGGAGCTACTTGCTTTCTGCCCCAAACAGACACATGCTTCTAGAAACCAAACCCAAAGAAGAAAATGCAGGAGGAGCACAGCAGGAGACAGTAACATTGCACACATAACAACAACAACAAAAATCTGTACTTATGAACACATGGGTAACTATGAAAATCAGAGCTATTGCTAGTGGAATTTTTTTACCCTTTTCCAGGATTTCAAATCACAATCCTTGTCATTACAGCTATAGTCAAACCTAGGCAGGAGGCTGTTCAGGGAAATGTGTGCTTGCAAAGGGCCACCTCTGCAGGCAGCTCGGAGGGCCCTGCGAACCCTTGGGACAACAGGCTGTCACCATCACCACTCTGTGTTCATATCACCATTCTCATGGTCCCCTAAACAGCCCAAAGAGAGTAAACAGGTGAGGGTGTCCATGGAGCAGGGAAGAACCTCCCTCATGTTCCAACTGCCTGGAAATCCAGAAATCCAGGTATCTGCCAGGCTCCAGTGAGGCAATGCCAGAGGAGAAATCCCCTATGAAAATCAAGCCCCTTAAGCAAACTGCCAGTTTCAGAGCTCCAAACCGTGATAAACAATTCTCAAAGATTTGTCTGCAATAAGCTAATGGCTCAGGTAGCTTGGCATGCTGGCTCAGGCAGGAAAGAGAATAATTTTTTTACCCTTCCAACCATCCCCTCCCACGTTTTAAGTTGTTTCTTTGAAAAAAATCTGTCATGGTCAACAAAACCCTCCCCTATGCCGCAAGGTAAGCAAGTTACCAAATGAAATTTTAGGAATTGTTATAGGCTTTTCAAAAAGGAAAGATGACATGTCTTTGAATCTCATTCATGTCAAAGGCTTATCCTTAGAGAAGTAGTGTAGCCATGTTGCACTCATCAAATCTCTTTGACTCCCATGAGAAAATCAATAATACAACTTTAATATATTTGTATAGCAAGACTTCGTGTTATTATTATTTTTATCAAATGAGTCTTAACTAAAGTGAGAAAGGTATACTGGGTCTCAGCATTGCCCTGTGGTGAAATGAGTTTTTTTCTGAAATTGAACTATAACGAGTCAGCCACATTCAACAAAAAGATCTCTGGAACTGCCACTTGCTGAAAGGATAGGGGTGCAGTGCTCGCTGTGGCATGCAGGAGGGCATGTCTGCAGGGTGACTGGCTATTGGGGAAAATGAGCACTGAGGCTCCTCTCTCCCCAATGGGGCTTTTAGGACTTGGCCCCCCAAAAGGCAGCCTAGCTCTAGCCTTACCTTCCTCTCAATGTGCTCCAGTTGTTCCTTATAGAAGGTGTTGTGGCATCTCAGCTCTGTCTCTCGGTTCTCCAGCTCTCTGGCCTAGTTGGAAGAGAATAAAGCTCATGTTAAACAGAGGTACCTGGGCTGCGGCTGCAAGTTGAAACCCACAATGACTTCTGTTCACAGTGACATGAGAACAGCATTAATGAATTTAAACCTATGCTATGCTAGATCACGTACTTATCTTGTGTTTAATTTTCACCACAAAATTTAAAGGTAGGTCATTGCTAGGGCCATTTTCGCAGATGATAATCACTAACATTTACTGAATGCTAACTAGTGTATGTGCCAAGTACTGGTTTAAGTGCTTCTTGCAGATTCTTTCATTTGATCCTTACAATTTCTCTAAAAGATAGGTAGGATTATTATGGTCCCCTATTATAGATGAAGAAACAGAGGAGCTAAGTTACTCCAAAGCTCACAGCTATCAGCTGGGTTTGAACCTCAGCAGATGCAGAGCCTGGCCATGGAGTCCTTATACCTGGCACCACATCATGCCACTGACTCACTGTCTAAGTTGTAAGAGGCTGGGCGCCAAAATGCCCTTCAACTGGTCAGCAAACTCCCTGCCTTAGGGGTCAGGGATCTGAAAGGTGAACAGTATCAGAATTCCAGACTCTTAGAGCTGCTTCCTCACCCACCTGACGTGGAACAAACAGAAATGTTAGTGCACACAGCTGAGGACCCTCCCTCACCATCACAGTTAGGCTGAGGGGCTTGGCTAACCAGGACAAGCAATGTGGAACCAGGAGGCCTGGGGTAAACCCACCCCGTCCTTAACTAACTGGGTGACCTGAAACAATTTCCTAACTCTGCCAAGTTCCTGCTCAGTTAGATATAATATATAAACCTGGAATGGGACCCCATAGGACTCTGCAGAGGTAAAGGAAACCCCACAGAAAAGGGCATGGTCACTGCAGGCCACCGCAATGGGACACCAAAACCATGGCAAAGCAGGGTCTGAGAACTCTGGAAGACAGGGTTGATGCTTATAGGAGGAATAATGTGATCTGTTTGCCATCTGCCTTCTGTTAAGGGTCAAGTGTGCTCAGACACCATTCTAGGCTCCTGTGTCACCTAATTCTCAAGATCCCAAAATCACAAAACTAGTCAACCACTGAGGTCAACGATGAACCTAAGTCAGTAAGATTCTGATTTCTAGGCTTCTTCCTTCAAACTGCACTATGGTATGAGCACATGGGTTTGAGTTGTTCAAAAAATACCAGGTAGGACAAGAACTGATATTTCTGAAAGCTCATTTCGTTAGCATTGCTACTGTCCTTGGCATGAAACCTCTTTGAAACCTTAGTGGGAGTGAGGAGAGGCGGGAGGGTTGCTCAGGAGCTGACTACATGACTGCACCTGAGGAAAGGCTTGGATTTAGAGGACCACACTGCTCTTAGGAAAACTCCAGGCCAGCAGGGCTTGACAACAGGCTGACCACCTGAGAGTTGAGCTCGAATGCCAGCTAAACCACCAAGTGGCCTGTAAGCTTGAGCAAGCTGCTAGCCTTTTCTGTGTATTTTCTTCTTACCTGTAGAATAGAGAAAAGAGTAGTAACTTGGCTCCCGAGGCAGCTGTAGCATATCTAAAATTGCTAAGAAGGCTTCTGGAATGCCTGTGTAATGCTAACACTTCAAAAAAGCTAAATACACACAGTGAGACTGAATGCTGGATATTTCTCTCAGGATTTTCAAAGCACGGTGCTGAGCACGTCCCAGGAATGTGAGCATGGCTAATCTGTGCTGGACCCTCAGCAGGCGGCACTGAATGGTTAAGTATCCCTGGTGCAATCAGAGAGATGGTCTCATACAGTAACGCAGCCAGCACAGAAATATCTCCCAGGACCCTAGACCTACCATTTTCGGGCCAACAGACCCAGCCTAACAGGAAGATGACATCTGAAAGAAAAACTTCTTTGAGGCTCTTCCACTGCCATTCACAAGGGGCCAGTGGGGCAACAGACAAGGAGGCTTTTCCACACTACTTTTTTTTAAATTTTGTTCATTAGTTTATTTTGTTGAATAGAGTCCAGTTATAGGTGAGATCATATGGTAACTGTCTCATCAACTAGCTTATTTCACTTGGCTTAATATTTTCCAGTTCCATCCATGTTGTCACAAAAGGTAGGAGTACCATCTCTCTTTCTTTCCTTCTTAAATGCAGATTGATTTTATTTATTTTTTTAAATGTCAAAGTCAATTATAAAATATTTTTAAAAATTTAAAACCATTATAAAGTCTCACCAATTAAACCAACATGACACCAGCACAGAAATAATCAAGTAGATCAATGAAATATAATGAACATTCTAGAGACAAATGTATATATCTGATTAATATATGTAATGATTAAGCTGATATTTCAAATAATGGGTATAATAAGGCTTATTCAACAAATAAGGTCCATGGACCACTATTGCTTGAAATAAAACAAATATAAAGCCCTATTTCACATATTATACAAGAAATATTCAGGTGAGTTAAAAATCAATATGTAGAATCTAAGGAGTTCTAGAAGAAAATAGATCTAATATTTTTCATGACCTGAAGTAAAATATTCAAACCCAGAAACTATAAAGTAAATATTAACAATATGATTGCATTAAACATTTAACTATATAGTAATATACATATAAAAAAGTTAAAGGACAAAGAATAGAATGGAAAATATTTGCAACACATCTAAAACATAGTTAACAGGTTGTTGGGTTTTTTTTAGGGGAAAAAAGTTCTACAAACCTTTAATCAATAATTGGATGAAGAATACCAAAAAGTCATTTAAAGCTTTTTCTTAAAAAAAAAAAAAAGAAATAGGTAAGAAATATACCAAAACAGGTTTAGTTTCAACAAAGAGTAAAGGAACAATTGAAATGACATCATTATCACAATCAGATTAATGAGTATTAAAAATATTGGTAATATCAAGTATTGGCAACTCTGAAAAGAACTGGTTATCACAGAAACTTTTTCTTCATCTTAAAGCAGTCCCTTTAGCCTATTTTGCAGTGCTGGTTTGGTGGAGGTGTATTCTTTTAGTCTTCTTTTGTCTGGGAAACTCCGTATTTTGCCTTCAGTTTTAATTGAGAACCTTGCCGGGTAGAGCAGTCTTGGTTGCAGGCCTTTGCTTTTCAATTCTTGGAATATATCTTGCCAGTCCCTTCTGGCTTGCAGTGTTCTGTTGAGAAGTCAGCTGCTAGCCGTATTGGGGCTCCCTTATATGTTACTACCTCTTTCTCCCTTGCTTGCTTTATAATTCTCTGTTTGTCTTTGATATTTGCCATTTTCATGATGATGTGTCTTGGAGTGGGCCTCACTGGATTCCTCTTGAATGGGACCCTCTGTGCTTCCTGGACTTGTGGGACTTTTTCTCTCCTCCAATGAGGGAAGTTTTCCATCATCACTTTTTCAAGCATGTTCTCTATCCCTTCCTCATCCTTCTCTCCTTCTAGTATCCCTATTATATGGATATTATTACATTTCAGGTTGTCCTGCATTTCTCTAAATGCCTCTTCATGCTTTCTGAGTCTTTTTTCATTTCCTTGCTCTTTCTGGGAGCTTTTTTCTACCTTGTCCTCCAGCTCACTGATTCGGCCCTTAGCTTTGTCTAGCCTGCTTTGGATTCCTTCTACTGTGTTCTTCAATTCAGAAATTGTATTCTTCATTTCCTCTTGTCTCTTATTGATAGTTTCTGTGTCCTTTTTCATGCTGATATAGTTTGCAGTAAGTTCCTCATAGTTTCCCTGTAGTTTTTTGTAATTCTCTCTGAGCTCACTGAGCTCATTGAGCTTCCTTAGAACCGTTGTTTGGAACTCAATATCTGATAGTTTACTTGCCTCTATTTCATTTAGTTCTCTTTCTGGAGACTCCTCCTTTCTCTTCAAGTGGGGTGTATTTCTTTGCCTTCCCATTATTTGATAGAAACTCTTCTCTTTCGCTTCTGTTTTTTAGGTTGATCTGTCTTGATTTCCTGACTTTGTGGTGTGAACTTCTGTGGTATGAGACTGCTTGTTTTTACTTTCTGGATCTGCCTCTGATGATGTCAGATGTCTTCCCTGTCTGACCTTAGGCAGTGTGTTCGAGACTTCCAGAAATCTACTGTTTGTAACTGCCTCCTTCAGCTGTTAATCTATTCACTCTGCACTCAGCAGGGTGCCTTAGACAGCTCAGGGCAGGGTAGAGTCCCTCCTGAGAGTGGGGTTATTGGGTCCTCTCCCACTGCTGCGTATGGGGGAGGAATCCGCACTGGGATCCTGCAGGCTACTCTCTCCATTTTCTCCCCAAAGCCTCCATCCCCAGTCTCTTCTCAAGTGTTTCCAGCCCTCTCTGCACCCTCTTTAGTCAGGGATCTACTGTCTGTGGCTGTCACTCTGCACTCAGCAGGCGGCTAAGAAAGCACAGGGCGGGGTAGAATCCCACCTGGGGGCGGCGTACTGGGTCCTTTAACGCTGATGCTGCTCAGGGTGTATGGTCTCTGCCTGAGCAAGATGGCTGTTGCCATATGGGGGAAGAGTCAGCACTGAGATCCCGCCGGCTCCTCTCTCAGTTCTCTCCCCAAAACCTCATTCCCCCATCTCTCCTCAGGCATCTGTAGCCCACTCTGCCCCTTCCCTTGCCAGAGACCATGGTAAGTGGCTGCAAATGAAAATTTATGCGTTGGCCCTTTAAACAGTTCTTTGCATCTTCAGCCATCTGTCTCTGGTAGAGAGCAACCCTGCCGCTTTTCGCAGCTGGCTGTTTTTTGTGTACTTTTTGGGCTCTGGTGTAGTGGGCTAGAGATCCCCGCTTTTGCTTTAGACCCCACTCTTCTCAGGGGGATCCAACTGGCTGTTTCAATATCCTTCTGGTGCTGCTGCCCTTGGGCACCTTGCCCACCTTCTCAGGTCTGTACCACACTCCTTACCAGTTAGATTGCGCCAAAGCCAATTCTTCTGTCTCCGAGGTTACAGGGCTCCTCTCTCGCTCTTGCTCAGTTGTTTGTTCCAGGTGATTGCTCCCCAATTTAGTTGTAATTCCAGGTTGGTCCTGGGAGGAGGTCAG